ACAACCCAGGCAGAAGTCGTGTGAACGATTTCCTGCAGTCTGTAGGATAAACCCCCCAGAAACGGTCACAAATGTGGCATTCCCGAGCACGGAAATCAACGATAGTTAGGGATTTGCAAAGTGAGCTGCAGCAGCTTTTTTCTTTTATTAGGCTGTTGCCTGATGCCTTCTCATCTGTTCCGCTCTCTCGCCTCAACTCTCCGCGCTTAGTCTATCACGCTCTACCAGGAATGATCATTAGTTCAACCCCGCTAAATGAAATGAGGTGTACGTTTCGAAACAGCTCAAATCTGCTTTCATTATCTGCCAACTTACTTTATGAAAGAAGTCACGGTAAGTTTTCTTTGCCGCCCTTAACTTTCAGCGTCTTGCACGCAATCACATGAATGCCCGGTTATAAACGTGGCAAAGAGCCAATGCTTCGGTGGCGTACCTGGTAGCGCATTTGCTTCTCAAGCAGTGAGTTGCGGGTTCGGTTCCCTACACAGTTTGGTGTTTTGCCTTTTTTGACACAGCCTTTTCGGATCCGTTGTTTTATCAACAGTCGCCAAAAGCTACGTTTACGAGGAGTTTGCAAGCAGATTCTCGAACCTATTCAATGAGTGGGATAGAGTAGCCACGAGTAGCACAGATGTGCCGTTGTCGCGGCTCGAAAGTGCGCGACAATGGCGCTAGGGTCTTACAAAGTCAGCATTTGGCGACTAATCTTAGCATTTGGACGAGTTTACGTAGCGCACACCCATGACACGCAACGTGGATTACGGCGTAGCGCTAATTCAAATACGCGCAGTTAGTTGAGCCGTGGAGCAGGCAAGTGCGTACAACTCGTCCAAAACCACATCTTCTGATTTCGAGGAATTTTCGTTTTGTGCTTCATCGACGTTTTCTTTGCTTCTTTTTCATTTTTAGTCAACTCGGCATCCACAACTCCATTATTGACCGCTGTGACCCACAAATTTGATCTGGGGGTGTTGCTTTAAGTTTGTGCATCACTTGCCTGTGAGGGCCCATGGTGCCCGTGGTCATGTGTCCAAAAAACACACCAATTTTTTCCTCTTCAATACAAAGTGAACGATAAAAATCTGCTGACTCCCAATTTTATCCTAGCGCATGCTTTTGGACTGTCCCATTACCGCGTACATGTGACAAGTTATCGATTGAATGCGCGTAAAATCGATGCCTACATGAATCACGCGAGACAATTATCGTGTCGTGCACACTCTGGTGGTTAATATTTCAATATTTCTCAAACACCGCATTGTGTTCTGGATTATTAAGATTTTATCGTTCACATTTGTATTGAAGAGAACATGAAAAAAAACGCTTGCATTAATACAGCTTTCGAGCCTGTGAAAGAGCGTCTTATCAAAGGCTGGCAAGATTTTACTGGCGAAAACATCAATATCGTGGTACACAATTTCCTTTATGATGAGAAAATTGAGCAGTGCGAGAGGTGGGCTTTGATCAGAAAGAAATTTGCATATTTCTCCAAATAATGTTATTGCTGGTATTTTTACTTCTCTGCTCTAGAATTATGCCTTTACAAACAGTGCTCTGACTGTTATAGTCAGCTATAAAATCAACTATATGGAACAGTTTCAGGTGGAAGAGACTTGAGAGAGCCAGTGGTCTTCGGAGAGAATACTTCTTCTACGGAATATGTTTCTTCATCTTCCTCGTAATTCTTCGGCATGATCCCCTTGTTGTCGTGCACACCCTGGTGGTGAATATTTCAATATTTCTCAAACACTGCGTTGTTTTCTGGAAACTGTATTGCGGACGGGGGCTTGGTAACTAATGGAAGCCCAGATCGCTTTTGAGTGGAAATTTCGGATCGATCATATCACTAGATCTTTCTAATTATGATGTTGTAAAAACCTTCCCGCGCTAGGCTCGAGATCGCAGTGGTATGGACAGGAGGTGCGACTAGGTACGTGCAATAGAAAACCGTGGAATTTCCCTTGTGAGGTCGACCATGGTTATGACGAGAGACACAGCGCTGCGAGGAGAGGGAAAACGCGAGAGAGCACGTCGTACGCGAGAGGGCGCAAACGCCACGTATGCCGCGATTGATAGGAATGCAGCTGTTGCAGCGGTCAAGTCTAGGGATTAGCTTCCTTCCTAAGTGTGATAGTACCACCATCCCTGTAAGAAGGGGTCTTGCTACCTCGTTCAAACAGAATTTCTTTAATGATTCGTCGTGATCCCCACTCACAGTGCCTTTAAAGGCTCCACAAACTAAGTAGTGCGGCTAATTCGCTCAAAAATGGAAGTAGACATGCGATATGAATAGAAAGTGAAGGAAGAAGAGAAACTATTTGAACTAAGAGCCTTCTTTTTCAAAGTTGTGAAGTATATAGAAATGCAAACAGCAAGAAAAGAGTTACTGACTGCCACAGTGCGGAAAAAGAATGGTGAGGAGGGAGCAGGAGTACGTGCGAGAGCGGATTTGGTCTAGGCGACAATTTATGTGCGAACCCGGTGCTGCATAGAGCTCGCGTGCGCGTGAAAGCTAACGCCTTAGCGCCCTTGCTCGGCATTTTCGGACAGTACGATAATGTTCTTGGGCAGGATGGTTCCGGAGAAGAGGAGACGGTTAATGAACTTGATTCTGTCCTTTAGCATACCTTTTGCTGCTCAGAACGCCACTCCTCGCTCCCAATTCACCCTGGCTGACGGTACGATAAATGCTCGGTGCGTAGGTTTCACTAGTGCGTAAGTTTTCTGATGCAAACGCACCTTATCGTACTCACTGATTTTTAGATCAGTTTCATGTCTGACTATAACCCTTTTGTTGTTATTTAGGCTTGGTTCTGCTACACTATTTGCAAGTGTGATACATTTCTTTTGTGAGAATCTCAAGAATTTAAGGTATTAATTTGCCCAGCCGTGTGCACTATGCTGGTCCTTAGTGAAGAACGACTTGAAGGAGCTCGGTTTTGGTTGGAATACTGGATTGTTTACGCAGTAATGACAACGCTTGGAAGAGCCTTCAAGAGGTTTGTTGTGGTTCGCTCAAAAAGTATTTGTAGAATTGAAATAGAAGCAAATTGGAGCAGTCGATTACACGAATCTACTTAATGGCTGAGATTGTTCCGATTGCCAAAATTTGGAATCTCTTCATTAACTTCATATATCATTTTCTTCAGTATGAATGTTCACAGCATAAGTGACCTCTGTTCACATTGAAATAACGCAGACTCGAGGCGCTCTCATGATTAGACAGTGTCTGCCCCCTCTTGTACGACGTTGTCTTTGACGTGTACCCTCTTATATCGTTGTGCTGTGTCTTCCATCGTGGTATGCTTAAAAGCCCCAGAAGTTGAAAAGGTCCCGGCGCTCTTGTCTAGGGGGGGGGACATTCAAAACAGGGATTCAAAACCGCTGGTAGGTGACACTAGCACTTAGCCCCGGATTCAAAATAAACACCAAGAAGAACAACTATTGCTCACATCCTCTCCCAGAATACTTTCTCCTTTCTAAGGCTTAGTCTGAAGCTTTATGGATGGCTCACTCACTTCAATGACATAAGCGCCAGGGTCCCAAGTTAATACGTTTCCTATGCTTTGGTTCACCTTCCTCTCAACTGACAGTCCTCTACGCAGCTTCGATCCAAGTGGAGTCAAATGTGTGGCGCATCATAAGGAAAACGCAATAAACTCCAACCCTTTCTATCCTATTATTCAAGCCACGCATAAAAAACAGGAAAACGGCATAGGACCCAAAAACTAAGGCATTCTTTTTGTCCGCTAATTAGCGCGTCAGGCGTGTCATATCAGTACCGTCCTCTGCGGCGTCAGCGCTCTCTCTGCTAGTACGGCTAGAGTCAGACGGCAAGGGTCTACAAATCGGCGGGCGTGTAGAGGCACAAACGGCGCGGGTACTTCCCTACTAGGCCGCTAGAGGCATACCCTTCGCTATAAAATGCGCGTAATCGTAGCTGATCCGCCTGTCATTCCACTAAGTAGGCTTCCTCTTCGTCGAAGTTCGCCTTTTAAGGGAATTGGTTGCTTGGGAACAAACTTTTGAAGTAACAAGGTCAGGTGTCGGGATCTGAAGACTGAACGAGATCAAAAAGAAAAGTGGAACATCTGTGGCAGCGGCCTACCCACTTGCAGAAAACCGGGTGCGTTACAATTCTCCTCCCCAGGCCAGGTCACCTAAAATTAAGACATCACTTATTTGCTTGAAGCAAGCTTAGGTCTAAGCCTGGGCCTAATCATAGTCAATGTGCTAGCATCAGAAAAGTCTAGGCCTAACCCAAGCTTAACCTCATGTTTCGATGATCGGTCAGCTCTGATGACCTGGACCCAGGAGGAGGAATGATCGTCCCCCCAGAAAACCATGACCTTTTCACGCGACGTGATGACTCCCTGTTAGCTCCTGGTCAATCATCGAGGAATGAAGGACATGTGAAATGCTCGACAATGGCTTCTAGAAAGGTCCCATCATAAACAGACAAAACCCTCTTCCCCAAGCCAGCCTCCTTCACTGCTAGTGGGAAAGAGGGTTTTGTTAACGGCCTTGTCGACGGTTTTTCTCAGTTTTTTCTCCACTGTCGTTCCACTTCGCATCTCTATACTCAGTTTCAATCGCCATAATACCCCCTTATTGAGCCCGACTTTTGCCTTTAAGTAATACAATTCAGACAGACGGCGGAATATCATGATATGAGCTGGATGGAAGTCATATTCTTTACCGCGTGCCTGATTCCTGCGACATATTTAACTGATTTTGTTTTTGGATGTATAATGCCAATATTTCACAAAATACGGCATAAATTTGAAGAATATAATTACCATTACGTCTCTTAATTTCAATTATCGGGAAAAATATGACAAATGACTTCTTC